TGTGTAATTTATTCACCTTTTGGCTCTTAATGATACAGCGATATGTAGTGCCAGGCGTTCGCGCTTAATCCCCCCCCAGTGGTCGCCACACGAGTAATTATGCATAGAAGACAAATAGGGGCTTTAAAGGGAATATTGAAGGAGCCGCGCGTCGCCTGTGCAGGACTAATCAGCTTTGTGAAATGAACCTTCTTTTCAATGCCTATTCCCCGGCTGATAACGTATTCTGCCCGGAGGTATGCGAGGGTGAGCCGGGGTTACCTCGTCCCTGGCGTGTGACTTATTATCATCATTTAGCGGTCTGTGAAAGGCTTCAAGGATTAGTCCGTCCTCGGGTAGGAGAGCCGCCTCTGCCATGGGTGACTTTATCACACACAGACACAAGTGGGGAAGAGAAAAGTCTTTTCTTCTTCTTCTTCCATTATAACGGATGACATTCAGGGGACGTCGGGCTCGTATCACATCTCCATCGCCTTCTATTGATTTTACTGACAGACGGTGAAAAGCCTCTTTTATATGAAGTCTCGCCAATCACCAGAGGAGAGTTTCTGATCGGCGTGATCAATACGCCGCTATGTACCCGGGAGGAATTAATCGGCTTGTCTTGGGTTAGACGTCTCTCATCGGAGTCGGTTCCTTTCTCTTAATTGAGAACACTTTTTTTCTTGAGAGATTTCTCACCTTGACCTGCGATACGCGAAACATCCAGTGAAACCTCGCCGCGTTCCCTGCGCCCCGCGATATCACTCTATAGCACTTTGTATGATTGGAGAGAATGTCTCGGCACACACATGTTCAATGTTGTCATTGTTCATACATCACGCTGCACTTCCTGAGCTCTCCAGTGGTGACTGCCACTAACATACTCTCCTCAATGATGCTTCTCATTTCACCCCTCCCCCTATCTGTATTTATATACGTCTGAAACCCTAAATATTGGATAATGTTCCCGTTACATCTGAATCTGCGCTACTATCCCCTAGGCCAGGCCTTCTTAAACTTTGTCCACTCGTGACCCCTTTTTGGCCAAGGAAATTTTTAAGGGACCCCAACGTCGGACGGTGTCTCTCCCCTCTTTCCCCCAACGTCGGTCGGTGTCTCCCCCCCTCCCCTAGCGTCGGTCGGTGTCTC